GACAGCTGAAACGACAGATGGCAGCTCGAGGATGTAAACAGACGTAATGATTGTTAGGCCGAAAATATCTACCGTTCGTTATCGGTAACGATAAATTCCGTTCCCGTCCGGATTCTCTGTAAATCACGCGAGAACTGAATTCACCACGACATCTGTGTTGTGCTCTAACTTGCTGGCAGTGAGGTAAAAATAAACTCAAATTAGAGCAGAACTAGCTAGACCCGTTCTCTAGCTGAACCCTTTAATCCTATTCCAGAAACGCAGCCATTCATTTTCGTGAATTGCATAATGTGTGTCTGTTTCTTGATCGATCATGACCGTGATTGCGCGTCGGAAATGTCGCGTGTCTCAGATAAGGTGTGGACATCCGATCTGATGAGTCAGCATTTACAAATGACCTTCTTGACAAGTCGAAAAATATTAATCTAGATTTAACTCTCTATCTGCAATCTAAGTTTTTTTAAGCGAAATTTCGCTCTCAAATTTTTTCGAAATAAAAGAGCGGAATTCGGTTCTCTCTCTCTCCTTCTTAAAATATCTTATAATATTTATTTGGTAATGTAATAGAGATGTTAGAAAGCATAAATCCTAAATTTTTCTATATTTTCTGAAAGCCTAGAATAGTAAAAAATTTAGACTGGACAAAAAAACACTTAGATTGTAGATAAAGGATTAAATCTTTAATTCTTTATTCTGACTTCAGAATTGAATCCATAAAGTTCTCGAAAAAGCAAAAAGAACCGCGGATCTACTAGATCTTCGCTTGCTGCAAATAATGAAACCGCGAACAATGAAATAACGACGCTGATAGAGTCGAATTGAGCTCTAAATAGACGTGATTATTATCACGAGGTCAGAAAGTCACGGTCGCGACGACAAACAAAATCGATAAGCATTCAACTTTATCAAACCCCGTTATCAACGACAATCATACAAAAAAAAACGGTTTTACTAAAATATTTAAAAATTTAACTAGATACATATCTGAAAATAATTTTGTTGGACCATCAAAATAATTATAAAGAAATCTCAAGCATGATGAGCAATGTTGCAAAAAGGTTTGATCTTCTAGCTTGAGCCTTCTACATAATTATTTTGATAATTCAATAAAATTGTTATGAGAGACTCACTGAATTCTTTCCATGGATGTCCAATATGTTACATTAGAAAAACATCTAGAGGAGAAGATGGTATTATGGCACCCCAGTTACATTTTACACAATAACTTTGTTAATAATCAATATTTAAGTTTAAAATTTGACAATTATACATTCGTTAAAATGTTGAATCGATTCTGGACTCAAAATTACGAAATGTTTATTACTTAGAATATTATTAATAAAAATGTGGCGACATTGCATAATGACTCGAAGAAAAAAATGGGTGGTAATGCGACCTTTCATAAAAATAGCCTTAAAATATTAGTTTTGTTTAGAAAACAGTTTGATTACAAAATTAACAAAAAGGTAAAACATTTTAAAATGTATGCAAATGAATGTATATACATTCACATAACTTCAGCGTATAAGCTGCTCAATACTAAAAATAGTACACATAATATAAACTATAGATTAACAGTAGAGCTACAATCGATTATCAAATAATTATTTTGATATGAAAACCTCAAAAAAGAGATCGTGAGTAATCAATATCCATAGACAGCCACATTAGCAAAATGCTATTGTTTAAATTTGCATAACTCAAAATATATACAGTCAAATAAAATGTTAAATAGCAAATAACACATTTAAAAATATATATAATATATTTATGTGATAATACGCTCAAGTTTGAGAGAAATGAGGGGAAGTAGGTGTAATTAAATGCTAAAATGTATCTCAGAAACGAAATACTTGAAAGTAAAAATGTGTTTTAATAAGTGCTGGCTATTGAATATTGGTATATTAACGTCATGGTGTAACGGCGAGCTACTGAACAAATAATTCCATAAGTAATCATTAGGATTCTGCTATATAATAGCGGAAATATTAAGGGAGGCCATAATACCACACCGTCTCCTCTATTGTTAAATGATCTCAAATGAGATCATAATATCTATTAGGAGTTAAAAAAACAAAGTTTTCAAACCTGTATCTAGCTAAATTTTTAAATACTTCAGCAAAATCGTGGTTTCCCTATCGACGACTCGTACTACTAAAACTGAACACGTGGAGTAAACGGACACGTGCACGAATACGTCGTCGGGCTATAGCGAGATGAGTCGCGGAGAGATAATCGATCGGCTCCGGATGTCTGGCAGGACCAGGAGGTACTGGCACCACGTGTTGTTGTTGAGGCTGTCACGCTTACGAAATCTCTGTTACGTGAGATCGCCCTCTCCCGTCACCCTCTCGCCAACAATGCGATTCTAACACAGACCGCGAATCGGGGACGAGAAAATGTCGGAAGATCCCGACATTTGGAAGACTTCAATCAAGTAAATTGGGATAGCGATCGATGAAGAAAAAAAAATATCACACTCTAAACGCAAAACACACTGCAACTCTCAAACCAACGCACATATAATTCGCACGCGAGCACTGGCGATTAACGTCAGAATCGATTAACCCATCTATTTTATGTTCGACGATATTCCATATAATTCCATATAATAACAAAAAAGTGACGATATTAACTGTGTAATACTTCAACACTATTAAGAACACTCTTCTCGAAAAGTTCTTCTCGTCTCCTACGTTGATAAATCTCGTTTGCAAAGGACGTTAATTTCAAAGTAATTACGAAAGACACGGACGCGGATCCTTCTCCCTCGGACGGAATATTTTTTTACCGATTACTCGGTCAATCGATCGACTGGTATCTAAACCGAGTATGCGCGATTCCTTTATCGTGCCTTCCTACATATTTGCGCCGCGAGCGAGCGAGCGTAGGAGGTGGAAACTACGTGAGGCTGACCTCATATGGAGGTGCGGATCCCCTCGAGGAGCGATCGAGGAAGAGGAGATACCTACGCACCGGTGTTCACCTTGAATTTACGGCGATTGTACGAGCGATCGTCAAAGAACATGCCGGCAATGCTGCGGTAATCTCGAGGGCGTTGCGTGCTTAATTGCATGCGGGTGTAACCGGATCGCCGATCGATCGAGGGAACCGCCGATGGATATTCTGATGGATGTCTGATTGCATCATGTCTGAGATAAGCAGGGGACGTAAGCCATCCGTAAATGCAGATAATATCCTCGGACACGTTCTCGTAATACATTCAGAAATTAATTCCGTTCTTTCACATCGCGTCATTTACATCGGCGTGTCTGAGTTACTGCAAAATACTTCAAAATAGATTTAAATCACGGCCGTAATTCCTTTCACTGATAACTCTTAACTTTTCATACATCACTTGTTTTTATACTGAGAAAAATTTCTGGTTGGACGAACCAGTTAGATTCTGATCATATCAATCGAATTTCTAGTCATCATGATTAAATATCTGGTTATCTTGATTAGAATTCTGATTGATGCGATCAGAATCTAATAGTTCGTTCATTTTCAACCAGAGATTTTTTTCAGTGTAGCAATAAAAAGGTTAATATGACCGAATTATCAGTCACGTAATTTTTTTATCCTAAAAAAAAGAATGAGTGATGATGATAAGCGATGAATGAAAAGGTACTCAAACTCATAACAACACGAAATCTTTTAAGGATCAATATATATAGTATAGAATAATTTATTTATTTAAATCAAATAGTGCACGAAATGATACGCCAGTTTCTAATGCAGTGATTCTCATATACTGCATTAGTAATTTTCTGAATCGAATAATTCCCAACATATAAAAGCTTCGCCTGTTTTCGACAGAGCAACTTATAACTAACTCCAAGAACACCGATAATTTTTAGTAACCGCTCTAATTACAAATATAAATGTTAGTCATCAAAATGTCTTTCAATAGGGTGGCTAAACAACTATTAACGATCGAAACAATTTCAAATTACATCTTACAGTAGCAAAACATGAATCTTAGAGCGATATTCATAGTCCGTTCTTATTTTAAGACCGTCTTAAGTAATGTCTTAAGATACTAATACAGCTCTGGTTGGTTCATGACATTTTAAGACTGTACTTAAGACGGTCTTAAATATAAGATCCGACTAAAAATACCGGCCTTAGAGCTTTATTTATAAATCGATTAAAATCCTTCGCTTGTAAATTTTCAACTCTCGATACTGACGTTATTACTAATAAAAAAATCTTTAATATCTAATTAGTCGATCAATGCACAGAGAAAAAGGTTTCTATGGATTTAGTATTCCTATTTATTTGACTAAAATTTGTCTTATTGAAACAACATATGCTTGTACGAAATATTATTTGTTTGAATACAAATTTTGTTGTTTCATTCGAGAAACTTCTATTGTTTGACAGAAATAACATTATTATTTGAAGTAATATCTTTTAATCAAATAATATATTATTTGGTTACAATGAATACAAGCAATGAAACAAATTATTTGTTTGAAAATGGCAAAATATATTGATAGAAGTTATGGTAGAGATTATGATAGAAATCCATGTAAATAATTGCCTTCTTAGAACAACCATTATATTTTTTGGCCGAAATTACGAAAACAATGGCTTATACGTCTAACAACAGGATTCAATGAACAGCGTTATATGCTATATTAATTATGTTTGTGCAGTACAATTTGAATTTACGCGAATGTCGAAGATAGACATTATCTTATTTCAAACAAATAATGTATTTAAGACAAAGATATAGTTGTTTCAAATTCAAACAATCGCACTTATTGATTTAAACATTGGTTTGTTTGGACCATTCCAAATAACAAATTTATTTGGATACAATAAAATTTATTAAATTCAAAGAAATCTTTTTCTCTGTGTGGGGAATCGCGAGTTAATAAAAATGATCAATAATATACAATTATAAAAGCGTCAATTAATTCTCGCAAAGAGGATTCACCATTTGCGTAATTGTCGCGTTCACGTGGGGGACACACCCCGTTTGATAAACTTACATCCAGGAGGCGAGCCCTTCTTCATGGTGATCCTGTAGGGCTGATAAGTGTCGCCCGGCTCCACCTTGCCGTACATCGTCCGATCCATCGCCATCCTCGCGCGCGCACGCACACACTTGCGTAGGAGGAATTGGATGCGCGTGCGTACGCGTGCACGTGTTCACTCACGTGGCGATCGTCGCGTAAACAGTGACATAAGCCTCTTTCCTCCACCCCGGGGAAGTAATTACGATATTCGTTGACGCGTGACGGCGAATTGATGCTAATTTAACGAGTTAGCGTGATGGAAGACCAGCTTTCCCAAATGTCCAACTTACAAGTTAATAACGAGGGATTTTATTTTTTTAAATAAATTTCGAGATTTCTACTCGCATATAAAATATAATTAATTTTATAATAACAATAATAATATAAATTATGGGGCTGTTTAAAATAGAAAAACTTGCATATAGTAAAAAATATAACAGATGGAAAAAATTAAGAAACTTTCCTTGTGTAGCAAAACAAGGAAAAAATAATTTTGTTGAGATATCTAAAAATTTAACTAGTTATAGATCTGAAAATAATTTTGTCCATCAAAATAACTAAGGAATCTCAAACATGACGAGCAATATTGCAAAAAGTTCGAACATTCTAACAATCATTGCAGTTTGAGTCCTACACAATTATTTTCGAATCTGTATCTAGCTGAATTTTTAGATACTTCAGTAAAGTCGTTCTTTCCATAAATGAATATGATTCAAATTATATTTCTTCTTCCAAGATCTCTCAATAGTGATCAATCACGCAGATATTTCATGAGAATAAATGTCTGTTCCTATCGGTCTTTGCGACCACGAGGGGCAACGAACTCTAGATTTATAATAGAAGTAAGAGTATAAGGAAGAAATGAAGCGTCCCGAAGCACTGTGTTGAGTGAAATGATTTACACAACGGTTCAACAGAAGAAGTTGGTTCTTAACTGTGTTAGTAAAGTTCAAGTGGACCAAAGGCTAATTTTAACACCGTGTAAATTTCACTGGGGTCATCTCGCGAAGCTCTCTTCGAGTAAATCAATAGATCGTGATAATGCACGTCAGCAACATGATTTACTCGACAATTATAACACATTTCGTAGAGGGTGACTTTAAACCTTTCACACTTCATCAGAACGATTGAAGGGTAACTATGGCTTTCGTTTCAAAAACTTGTAATTCTCAGAAAATACATGACCGTTTCTCAATCTTCTGCGGAAAATGTATTTTCCAATTAACAACGCAGTTGAATGATATTCAAGACTAGAAGCCAAAAAGAGATTCGTTCTCGGATGGGGAGTTTCGGAAGGGAACACCCGACTAGAGTGTAACTACGCGATCATACGAATCCGCAGCGGAATTTGCACTGAGGCATCCCCGTGATGGATTATCCGCTGAAATGAACGAGCGATTCGGCGCAGCGGCGCGATTTCCTTCCGGAACGAGTAATTTCCGAGTAATGAGACACGCTGACACGCGGCGGAGAACGCGCGACGGGAAATTTGTCGCGACTGCCACGAGCAACACGGACGACGCGCGGCTCTTTGGTGACGGTGCCGGCTTGGTGAACGCCGGCGAACAAGAGCAAGACGAGATTCCACGCGCGGGTATATTTCCGGCGCTCACCCGCGCCCAGTGTCATAGAGAGAGTTCTCTTTCGACCTCTTTCGTCTTGGCCACTGTCTCCACTTTTGTGGAAAGTGAGACGGATGAAGAGGAAAGAAAATCGTTGCGGAAAAGACAGGTGCAGCAGAATGAGAAAGAGAGGGAAATGGATAGCGAAGAGAAGACAAATGTAGATATAGAAAGACGAGACGCCACGAAAGAGAAAGAGAGAGACACTGATGGAACATAATATCTAGTGGCTTCTGCACATAGAAATATATATATATATTCTACATAATTACTTTGATGTTCCAAATAAAATTATTTTCAGATCTGTATTTAGTTTCTTCGGATATTTACAGCTAAACCGTGAGGGTGTTACAGATTCAACGTCAGTAGCTATATATATTACAGATTTTGACGTCAACTTCGAAGGGTTAACTAAATTCATACCCATCGATTTATTTCCAGAGCAATAAAAATATAAGAAGAAAAGAAATAAAAATATATCTCGGCGATCAGATATCGAGTATGCTGACATTGCCATCGTTATCAGGGTTACCGTGTTATCAACGCGAATACCCGTCGACCCCTAAAGATTAGCGCGTTTTGCGAATTACACGACATTGATCTCTCACGAGAAAGAATCATTCCGTCACATACGATATTTGATCGAAGGAATCATTTTTAATTAAAGAAGTCTCATCATTTAAGGGCAGTTCAATTGGGATAACATTAGGTCTATTTTTTCCTATATTAGACTACACTAGAACTTTTTTCTGGCTTTCGCCAAATATCAAATATATAGCACTTTAAATCCCTTTAAATCCTAAATTTAAAAGTGTACACTAGTTCAACCACAGAGAAGAGATCTAATGTGTACCTACTCTACAAAATATGGATGTGGATTTAATAGTAGATTAAATAACATACAAAAATAAATAAAAGTAGACTAATGAGAGTCAGCGCGACTAAACGGCGCAAATTATTATGGAATAATTTTAATATTCTATAGTTAGAATGATGTCTTCTTTATATCAGTGTTAAATATATGACCCAATTCTTCCTATAGGGAATAGTGATTAAATTCTTGCACACCGACGATTTTAGGATTACATGCGTTTAAACGGCAAAGTATATGCGGTATAGTAGGATCTTTTTTTATCGTATCGCTATGTTAACAACCGCAACCATTAGACGTCGACCAGAAAAGCAAAACGATGCAGAAGTATCATTCACATTCAGATATTCTCATTGGAAAACCCAATGCGGCTCTTTCACACTTAACTCGAAACACATTACTAATACATTTCATCTCTAATTTATATAAATCACATGACTCTAAGTTCATCAAGTTCGTATCATACACAAGGGATTTCTTTCCATTTGCTCGAGATTATCCTTTCAGCGCCTGACGTCTCGCATTTCTGATCAGCGCGTGTAAAGTGAAATGTCCCGTTTCACGTCACAAATGTACCGAGCTGCGGTACCATAACGAGTGCGTGACAAACTAATGTACAGTTGGCATAACACTGATGCAACGAGGCCTTCTCGCCATATAGGAGTACAAGATAATAGTCGCGATCGCGACCGTGCCCCTCCAGTTTCTCGCAGCTTTTCTCCCCCATTCTCGTGAATATTCAGCATGCTTTATCCACGAATCTCTATGAGGATTCGTGATGTTAGCAAATTGGAAACGAGTCGGGAGAATTGCCGGCAAAACGTATGAAAGAGTCGTTCAGAGAGTACACGAATACACTGAGAAAAAAATATCCCAAATTTCAATAAATATTTATTAGATATAAAAATATATTTATTTGATACAAAAAAACATTAATTTGATTTAACAATCACTTCTTTTTATTAAGTAAATATTTATTTAAATTTAGGCTATTTTTTCTCAGTGTAGAATTAATCTCCCTCGGTGTCGTTATGTTCAAGATGTATTAGTATATAGTATATATAATTTAAAATAAATTATAAATAACATATATAATTATAATTTCTAATATATATATATTATACATTTAATACATAATATATATCATATATAATTTAAAATTATTAGGATGTCCCATTTAATGTTTCACTCCAAATAACTTTTTCATTTTTGATCTTAGAAAAAAATATTTCAGACAAAAGTTGTATGGCTTTGAGAGGGACATAAGGTGGTGTCATTAGTTTGACCTTGAATAGTTACTTGAAGGTCACGTAAAGGTCACCTTCAATTTCTTAAATGGAAACCTCTATTTTTCATTGGATATTCTTGTAGCTTACCTCAAGAGCTTTCCGAAACACTGTAATAAAATATTTTTTCATCAAGTACTTTTTTAGTTATGATGCTCGAAAGTTACAGTACCTCCGGCATTTAGCATTATCCAAGGTGTTCGACCGATAGCTAAAACTAAAACTTCTTAAATGTTGTTTAGGACCGTGAACTGGATAACATTTGTGAAGATCAAGGCCATCGTATTTTCATTTTTACATTAAAATGAATTTTTAGTGTAAAAACGAAAATAAAATGTACAACCTCCAATGGCTTTGATCTTAACAAATGCCGGAGGTACTGTAACTTTCGAGCATCATAATTAAAAAAGTACTTGATGAAAAAATATTTTATTATAGTGTTTTGGAAAGCTATCGAGGTAAGCTACGTAAGAATATGCAATGAGAAATAAGGGTTTCCATTTAAGAAATTGAAGGTAACCTTCTCACATGACCTTTAAGCAATTATTCAAAGTCAAGCTAATGACACCATCTTATGTCCCCCTTAAAGTCATACAACTTTTGTCTGAAACATTTTTTTCTAAGATCAAAAATAAGAAAGTTATTTGGGGTGGGACATTAAAATGGAACACGCTGTATATGGTATATATTATATATTAAATGTGTATATATTATATATATTTGAAATTATGTATTAAATTATATATTATAATTTTTAATATAATTATTTTTAATTATACACGGAAAAAATAGTTTTGCCGAAGTATATAAAAATTTAACTATAGATCCAAAAATAATTTTGCTGAGCCATCAAAATAATTGTGTAGGATGTTCAAACTGATTATTAGAATGTCTGAAATTATTGCAGCGTCATTCGTTATATTTGAGCGTCCTATAATTATTTTGATGATTCAACAAAATTACTTTTGAATTATATATCTATCCTATATATAATTATTTTGATGGTTTATCAAAATTACTTTCAAATCTATATCTATATATCTATTTCAGCAAAATTATTCTTTCCTGTATTAATTTAAATTAATTTCTTGCATTTCTTGCGACTTCAATATAAAAAAAATATAGATATTCATTACTGAATGACAGTACAAGTATTCTAATCTCGAAGACGCGCGTCTCAAAGCAATGATATCTTCACTGAACACTTAAGGAGGCCTTTGTATCAATAAATTCCAACATTCCTGAAAGACGTAAAAAGAAATGCATCTTAAACTGTCAATATTCTTAATGACAACGTAACGGTACCAAACGCGCTCCAGAATGCTGACAGGTATCAACGTGCCTGGCGAACGCAAACAAATATATACATCTCAAAGAGTACCGAGATCTTTGATATAAAAAAAAAGAAGAAAACGTAACCTCGATTCCAGTAATCGCCTTTGACAGGCCCGAATGAAAACATCTTTTAAGTGTCACTTGACGAAAGAGATCCGGTTTCATCGACACTCGGCGATGCGGATGCCAACGTGATCCTATCACGGATCGACGAGTAGCAGTATCCTCGCGTCATCCTTATGACAGGCTAGGCGCGCCTGTGAGAGGTTAACTCGGCGTCTGGCTGGAATTTTCCGACTTTTACTCACCCAGATCGTCCATGATGCGAGCCGGGATCTCCGTCCCACGAAACTCCGAGGTACCGCGGCCACCTCCACCCACCCGAACAGGTCGTACCGATCACCGAGAGAACGCGGTCCTTGTCACCGTCGTGCGTTGGACAACCATGGACAACTCGCTCCACTCCGACTCGCACGCCCGCGCGCCGCAAACGTCAAACATGGAGGCTCCAGTCCTCCCCAGTAGCCACTCTAGGCATCGCCGAGCCCCTAAACATACCTGATCGCAGATTTTTGTTCAGAAATATAAAAAAGTACGAATTATGCCAATTTAAATTAACTGTCTCGGTTAAATTTATAAATCTACTTTGATACATATAGAAAAATGAGATTTATGCTCGTTTTTACCAATACAGATAAACTTTAATCTTAGTTTTACTTTTTGCTTCGAGTTCTAAGAATTATATTCTAAAAATTATGTTCTTTTATGTTTTTTAGTTTTAAATGAAAGGATAAAGAGTAAATTAAACTTATTAAACCAAAGTTAATCTACTTGATAGAAAGTATTATTCATTTTAATCGAGTAATCCAGTACGAGACATTTTAAATTCAGTTCAAATCTAAATCAAAATTCAACTCAAAACTAAAATATATGCGCATTTTTCCAATAAGAAATGAGTGTCCTCAATTAATAAATATTCTTTATTCAATCTCTCATTGACAAAAATGCAATTTTATTTTTAAAGGTTGTATTTTTAATAATCGAGGGAATCGCATATTTATATATGTAACATAATATTCAATGTTCCTTACCATTTTTCATCAGCAACTATGTTTGATTTCCGTTTTTTGGCTCTTCAATAAGAACTCGAATATGTCAGAGGCTTTACGTATGGCAAATTGCCAGGAAAGTTATATGTATAATAAACTAGACTATGTACATGTGCTATATACATTTGATATTCTAATTATTCTAATAAATTTATTAGAAGTTGAAGGAGGAGAAATCTCCATATGACTGTGATGAGACTTTCTTCTTCTTTGTCACAGGCTCCGAGTTCCCCTCCCATTTGTCCAATCTGAAAATCGGATTAAACGCCGCGTAAATACTAAATAACAAATCTCGGTTCACAATGAAAGTACGTCAGAGATCTTACTTTTCCTGCTCCAATTTCACATATTTTCCTATGCCCGATCGGTAGACCTTCTGAGTATCATTCTTTTTGTCGGCCGATTTGTTCTGACTCGCTTCTTGAGACAATCGTTCCGCCTCGGCAATTCGTTCCGCGGCGAGCTGATCATCAGCTTCCTGGAAAGGATCCACGAAAACCTGGACATCCTGTATGACTATATCTTCTATCGGTCGGTCTTTATTGTCCACCTCTACCTTCTCCATCGCGTTTAACGTGTCCAGACCTCCAACGATCTTCCCAAAGACTGTGTGTTTGCGATCGAGGTGTCTGCACGATCGAAATGTGATGAAACTGAAACGACAATAATAGTATATTAATAAAACAACACGATTGCGAAATGCAAGTCCTTTGTTTTATCTTTCTGTTCGATCTTACAATTGGGATCCGTTGGTGTTTGGCCCCGAGTTTGCCATGGACAGAATACCCCTACCTTGATGAACCAGATTCGACTTGAACTCGTCCTCGAACGGTTTGCCCCAAATGGACTTGCCGCCGTTACCCGTATTGGTTGGATCACCGCCCTGGATCTATGGAAAAACGAAATATCTGCATAAAATAAAGAAGTTAAAATAGAAAAATAAAAAAAAACATGCAAAGTACAATTCTTGTACTTAAAATGCACTCAAGTTAAAAGACTCATCATCGCACTCAATATATTTACCATAAAATTTCGTATCGACCTATGAAACTTTGTACCGTCGTAATAACCATTCTGGCAGTGTTTTATGAAGTTTTCACAGGTTTTCGAAATCAGATCACAATGAAGTTCCAGATTCAAAGTCCCGAAGTTCGTGAATAATCTTACATATCCTGAACGAAAAAAAACAGATAAATGAAAATAAGAATTATTTTGATTACGAGTTTGAGTAATGATCAGCGCAATTGCGATAACATACCTTTCTTCTTAACTCTCTCGTATCGCACTAAATCTTCTGCAATTACAGCTGCCTGATGTGTAGTTTCTGCCGGCATTATCGTTGAAGTGAATCCTGCAGCAACCGCGCCAGTGGAATAATGTGCCTATATACCAATAAATAATAAAATTACTTCAATATTCTATATAATGACTACGTTCAACTGAAAAAGCAGCTTTGTAATTATTATAAAATTCTTTAATATGATTGTGATCTTGCCCTAAGTTCCTCACTGGATCTAAATGTATAAACCAATCATATTAAAGAATTTGACAACAGTTGCAAAGTTGCTTTTTCTGTTAAGCGCAGCCAATATAAGTTTCTTGCGAATGATATACCAACAGCGTTAAATTTGTCAGCCTTCTGTGCAGATGACTCATCTTTCTCGCTACTCTTTGCCGGTTTGTAGTCTCTTTCCAATTCAATCAGGATCTCCTTGGTCTCTGCCGATACGGTTTTTAACTTTGCGTTTGGATTATTCCTCTCTTTCACTGTCTCTGAAAAATATCATTCATACATATATAACTTACAAAAATAGAATATATGTCAACTATAAAATCCATTTCTGTTGAACTGAATCTATTGAATGAGAAGCCTACCTTCGTCTTCCACTCTTATGTTATTTTTAATATGATGGAATGTCGACAGATTGAATTTCATTGCGTTATTTGGATCCTGAATTGTAATAATGTCCTTGCGAGTAAATGGCTGATCGCTCATCAAATCTTTCCAATTCCTAGTTTTTATGTTCAACTGTTCAACAGCCTGAAAGAATAATTCTTTTATACACAAATATATTAGATTAAAAAAAAAACAAAATAGCCTCTAAAGTGAAATAAAAGAATAGAAATATTATACTTTATACATTTACCTCATAGGAGAATACATTTCCTGTAGTTTTAATAGCAACAATATGTGAATGTTTTGTAAATAATTTGAAAAGAACAGGGCACTGGTATTCATCTTGCGAATTCTTATAAAAATTCAGTTTGACTAGGCTCTTGGCGTCCAGTGGTTTCCCTGTTATGGGATTGTGCTTATACTGTTTTATGTATTGCAAAATAGCCTCTAGCTCAAACACGTTGCCATGCAGGTCGCAATAAGGGTACTCGAAGGGCTGAAGAGACAAGCAACAATGATCATACGGCAACCGCCTGAACGTCTTCTCCTCGCTCGTTTCCAGATTCGTTCCCGATTTTCTTCCGCCGTACAACGTCGTCCACTCCGTGTACGTTAAGTACCTGAAGGAATTTGCAAGCTTGTCAAATGATTGGAAAGCAAAAGCGAGATACCTTGTTATAGTCAGGATGCAAGATTGTATGAAGAACAATAATGCAACTCACATCTTATCCTTCTGATGTTGGCGTTTCCCCATTTTGAAGTAGCCCTACAACTGTCTTTTTTAAGAAAATGTCGCAGTAACTGACAGTAATACGAAACGAATTACGAATAAAGTGAACAAACGTCACGTAAAACTTGAATTCCGGGTACTTGTTGCTGCTTGTTGCCTATTCTGTTCGTCCATCGAACAGTTGGCATATACAGAAATACAAGTCTTGCCGAGATTTTAGACCCTCAACAAATTAGTCCAAATTGAAAGAACATGGCGAAATCGACCGCGACATTTGAAGATACAAAAGATTTAAAATATTTGTCCGCTTATGGCGTATTCTCTATCGTATTGATGTATTAAAATATTTCATTTAAGAAAAAGTGTAAATGAATGCTCGTTTTGAAAAAATATCTTTCTAAACCGCTTCAATATTTAAAATATTATATTTTTAATATTATTATTTTTAATAACAGAGACAAATTTCACAACAACGAATTCTATTGGAACTATTAAAAATGTGTACAAAATAAAAAAATTGCTGCGTTGTAAGTTTTCTTTAACATGAAAATCAATACTTTTGTTTTCTTATTTTATATTACTGACTTTATCATTTTCTGTATATGTATTAGTTTATATTTCTTAAATTTTATATTACCGACTTTATATTTTCTGTACGACTTATGTTTTTCAACAGAAATCATACATTACAACGGAGAAACACATTGCCGATTTCGCATCGTACCATATGTTAGCGAAAGTACTGCGAGATGAGAGAGAAGTTCTAATTTATAATTTTATATTTTTTTGTTTTTGTATTCATTTCCAACATTGATAATGATCCGACAGAGATCGAAACGTTTGTATTGTTTATTGCCAGCAGTTATTAAAGTTTATTGTGTTATGTTTATTTTACTATTAATTTAGACCATGTAGATTGACCTTTGGCTCCTAGCCCTTTCTTTTTGATATTTCAATACTTTTGTATTTTAATATTACATCCTTGGTGAAAATTTTTCTCAGAATTTTTCATATAATTTTTCAGAATTTCTGTATAATTTTGTAACTTTCTCACATTTTTTATACGAATTGAAACACTTCTCAGAAAATCTACATCTTTTCTCAGAATTTTTCATATATATTTAATACTTATGAAATATCGTCAGATTTCTTGAAGTTTTTGTAAGTATAATTTCTGATGAAATGTTATAAAATCTAAAAAATCGAAAAATATTTTTTTAAAATTATGGGATGAGAAATTTCAGAATTCACTTGTATGAAAAATTCTGAGAAAAGATGTAGATTTTCTGAGAAGTGTTTCAATTCGTATAAAAATTATGAGAAAAATTTTCACAATATTATATATCATAATAATATTAGGTTTAAAATTTTGTAAATTCTCTGGGAATTCCTAGATTTTCAAAGTATCTTTATTCCAGAGAAAATTAGAAAATTCTTTAACACAATTTTGAAATAAATTGAAATACAAATAACGCAAATAAATTACATTTTAGAATTAAAAACCACAAATTTCGTTATCCACAAACGAAGTTATTTTGATTTTCAATTTGTTAATATTTATAGAAGTAGGATTGCAATAGAAAAAAATTATATAACCTCAATATTACAATAAAGTTAACTATAAATATTTAGATAATTTCTAAATATAAAATATATTTGTAATTATTTTATTTCTTTAAATAAAATAAAGTAAAAAAATTAGAAAACATTTTCCAAAATATAAATACAGTAGTTATTAAAAACTAAGCCAGTACTCTGTATGCTTAATAAAAAATAAAAAAACAGCCATAGATGTTACAAAATAAGAAAATAAATGTAACACAGTCTTTTAAAATTCTTATAAACTAATATTTTTCGGTTTCTGCAACAATCGTATGTTGATGTAAATTTTTTGTATTTGTAATAATACATCTAATCATTTAATACTAATGCGGGATCTACAATAGAAGTCGTAGCAGTCGTAGGGTTTTAAGTAGAAAATTGATCAATCACAGTTGATTATTTTTTTCATATTCGACTGTGATTGGTCAATTTTCTACAACTTAAGAACCTACGACCGCTACGACTTCTATTGTAGACCCCGCATAAAAGAAATACATATTTATTAAGATTTATAAAAAAATAAGGAATTAAAAACAAAACAAAACAAATTTTTCTTATAAAACAAATTCCTTCACAATTGGCTAGCTATCATGAAAACACATTGGGTGCATTCAGTACTACAGCCGCTCACTGAGCGCTCAGTGAGCTCTTGTATCTGTTTGGTCTATATTTTTAGTTCTAACGGAATACGCCAATAAGATGCAAGCGCTCACTAAGCACTCAGTGAGCGGTTGTAGTACTGAATGCACCCATTGTAATGATAAACTCTATTGCCCAAGTAGAGAACATTTAAAATATTTTAGAATACTTTAAAATATTTTTTTAACAAAATATGGAAATTTCTTACTTATATTTATACTGTATTTGATTAGATATCTTTGGAACTGAAACTAAGGCCTAGGTATAAAGAACTAAAATTTTGATCGCGAATTATTATCGAGCAAAAAGTATTAAGAGCAATAATAAAAAATATTATTGAGATTTTCTTGTTAAATTAACAAGTACTGCCTTAACTTCTATACTTCTTCTTTTTGTATTGTTATTTTTTTCTATAGCTTCTCTTATCTTTTTTAATTCCTTAATTCGTTCTTCTTCTATTTCTATATATCTTTTTCTATAATTATCTATAACCCTATTTCTCTTTCTAAATTTTTTATTTTGTACATTTTTTTTAAAACACTTGAAATACTGATATTTCAACTAGTAGACGAGATCGGTTAAACATTTTCGTTTTCTCGATCACTTAAATTCTCAGAAAGAATAGCATTTTCAAATCTAACAATCTTTTCAGTTTCATTCTGACTATTATTATCATTATCATTATTAAAAAATGCAGTTGATGCCATTATTTTGAGTTTACTGTTCTATTATCAAAAATAATTTCGGACATAATGTCAAAATAAATCCAAGACATTCTACCAGATTCTGACGTTTCCTTTTTGTCACTATTCTTTATTCTTAGATATCTCATCTTCAAATTCCTAAACTTTCTGTCTATTACATCTGCCTTAACTTTATACCCATATTTTGTCATCTCGTCAGATATTTCTTGCCAAAGTCGCTTTTTCTTGTTTTCAGGATTTCTAAAGCGTTCAGCCCTTTTTTTGTACTCTTCCAGCATTAAAAAGACAGCTTTTTCACTCCAGGAAAAATTATCTAGAAAAATCGTTTTCGAGTATATATTTTTTAGGTAATATTATAGAAAGAGGTAATAAATAGAATTAAAATGAAAATAATTTTAAATAATAATATGTATATTATTATTTTTATCATTTATTTCAATGGAAGCATAATGTTTATTCATAGTGTTTTCCATTTCTCCTAATGCATTATATGGTTGCACTATTCTCTGATTCTCAATTGGAATATGTATACATCCATCATCTGTAGAATTTAAATTTTAAAAATACAGAAATATATGCTTTTTACACCATTATCGTTAGAAATAATACTTGATATTAATATAAAATTGTTATTAACAATGTATTGATTTCTATCTTCTAAAATGACATTTATATATATTATATATATATTATATTATATGTATTATATATATTAATCAATCGTATTCAACTGCTCCGTGAACAGTCAGTCGATTATCTATCTTGAAAGGAAGTGAAAACTAGTGAAAATTACAAATAATCAAATTTATTAGATATATTGACCAATGAAATAATAAATATTTTAGTGAATTTACTCGCTTTTGTAATTTTAATCTTGTTTCAAGGTACACAATCGACTCCTTGGCTAGTTGCTTTGTCTACTTTGTTTGTTCTTAGTTTCTAAATGGATCTAAGATCTGGTTGCACCAACATTACTTTGATTTTAAACGAGATTTAAAAAATTTTCTCTGTCTCGTTTTAAAGTTCACCGAAAAGAGACAGGGACAAAGAGTTTTAAGCCTCGCTTAAAATTAAAGTAACGTTAGTGCAACCGGGCCTAAATATAGAAACTAATCATACTAAAGAATCTTAAGCCTGTATCAGACTAGAAATTGAGATTGAGATTAAATTTGACCAATTAAAGCAAATTTTACTAAACTTAATATTGGTTTTTCTTTCTTCTGAATGGTTAAATTTCAATCCAATCTCAATTTCAATTTATAGTTTGATACAGGCTTTAAGTTGTTTTCTATGCCATATGCCAGTTACTGACGCTAAATCTGAGACCCATTTATTCAAACACGTAATTAATTTTATGATTAATATATGATACAAAATTAATTTCAAGAAACCAAAATGGCAACTCGTGTAAAAGAGAATAAACACTAAGTTTATTTTAATCACAAAATTCAAAGATATAATATAAAGAAATAATTGCATAGGTCCAACATATCCACCATTAGCTCTGCAACAATATGATTGAATAGGTTCAACAAACCCACAATCAGTTCCATAGAAAAAGTGGAGGAGTGTCTTCTCCTTTGAAACGAGAGCTATCTAATATAATCAACTGGACCAGAAATTGAACCCGGATCAGTTTTAAAGGGTTAAAAACGAATATACATATAACCCAACAATGTTAAACAACCAAGAAAGCGACAAAGCAGCTAGCAATTTGTACCATTCAGTGTAGTTTCTCCTTGTCATTAAACAAGTTAGTTGCTTCTTCGGTTATAATATGTTCAGTGTCTTTATCTAATTCAACATTATGTATTTTCCTTCGAAGCGTTCGTTCACAAGGGAAAGGAATATGTTGATCTAGAATCTGTTGGTATCCAACACTACCACATGCACGTCTTAACTGAATAGCTCGTTTAACTGTCTCATCGGACCATTCTCGGCAGCTCATTTTTGGATTGGTGAGAACCCTAACCTGATCTTCATTGAAGACTTCTCTTAATCTACTTTTTAACTTGTTGCAAATTTGATTTTCTTGCCTCAATTTCTTCAAACGTTTCTCTGATCTTATCTTGTATAGGTAACTCTTTCTTATTATCTTGTTAAACAATTCTTCGCGCTTCTTCATAGTGTCTTCAAGTTTCTCACACTTACTTTTGCTCTTTGCCAGCAGCTGCTTCAATTCCTGGCATCGTTTCTCCCAGTCTATCTCTTCCTGAACGTTCGTGAACATACTTAAAAGATCTTCTGGTTGTTTATCGTTTAATTGCTTAATATTGTCTGAGTGTAACTGATACTGATAATTTATCTCAACATTTCCTTCATTTGTCAGGCTTGCAATAAGCATATTCACGACATTGTTGTTTTTATTGCTATTTTCTGATAAAACAGGAACATCTTGTGGCACAGGAACATCTTGCGGCACAAGAACATCTTGCGGCACAGGAACATCTTGTGGCACAGATACATTGTGTGGCACAGGAGGAGAAATCACAGGTACAGCGTTATACTTTAGTTTGCGTTTGCCATCACAACGGTCTTTCTCCCACATGTCTTTGGTGAAATGTATCTGTTTACAAATAATACAAATAGACAGAATCGTTGATCAATCTACAAATATAGTAACAATAAAAATTCAGATAAATCATACCTCACATATTCGACTGTGCGCACTGGGTGTCCAATTCGGTCTACCAATACTGGTAATCCACTGTTTTTTCCGATCAGGATTTGAAGGAAAGTTTCTCATCAAAAATCCCTTTCTGTTCGAATTGTTGCAACCGGGGACGCAACAACCCGTCATCCCGTGCGAAATTGATCCAGAAAACAATGATAATTTTCCACGACGAAACCTCCAATGTTGTCAATTATTTGTCGGATTTTTCGAAATTTGATATCAATCAGATTTACTTATGTTGTAATTATCCGCTACTTTTGTAGCATGATGCAAATCAAGTAGATAAGTATGCTGTACGGTGTGCTTCGGTGTGCTCGTAACTAAACAAGTTTGCGCATAGCAACTGATAGCAACGCGCTGACCTTAATTTCCGCCATTTTAAAACAACATACGATTCGCGCGCTTGGCATAAGATTTGAAATGATTGCAAATGATCAAGTTCTAATATAAATAAAGTGAAATAAATAAGTAATAAATAAGTAATTACGAATAGAGAATTGATTATTTATTATACATGAAACTGAGTTTTACTGTCATAGCAGGCATATTGAAAATTGAAACCAAATCTGCCTAAAAATGGCGGACTAAAAAGTCAAGCTCTGATTGGCTGCAGCAATTAAATGGCAAGAACACGAGCAGCCAAGTAGCTATCGGTGATTGGTTGGATCAAAAGATAAGAACCAATCATCTTTGGCTACATTTACACCGTGCGCTTAGTCCGCGACCTATACGATAGGTGTCTTTGTTTAATATACAGGATAAACAAAGGCTGCGTTCAGCAGACTCAACAGTTTTGCAACTGTTTTATGATTGTCTGCTGAGATAGGACCATTCTTCTAGATCTAAAAGTATGATCCAATTAGCGCGAAGGAAACTTCCAACAGTTGCAAAATAAACATTCTGCTGAACGCAGCCAAAGACATCTGTATAGGCCGCGGCCTAAATGCACGGTGTAAACGTAGCCTATGATTGGTCTGTTCGCGACTCGCGTTGCTTGCACTTTAAGCTGGTTCTACATTAGTCGTATCGCAATGGCTGCGTTCAGCAGACTCAACAGTTTTGCAACCGTTTTATGATTGTCTGCTGAGATAGGATCATTCTTCTAGATCTAAAAGTATGATCCAATCAGCGCGAAGGAAACTTCCAACTGTTGCAAAACAAACGTTCTGCTGAACGCAGCCAGCGTCGCAAGCGTGTCGCGAGAGTTATGATCCAATCAGAGTCGAGCTAGCTTGATGTTGATTAGCCGCAACGCTTGCGACGCTGCGATGCGACTAATGTAGAACCAGCTTTATAGCTTCTTCACTTTTTACACAGGTCTGTTCCTTTTGCTAAACTAATGCGGATCTTAAGACCCTACGACTGCTACTTCTATTGTAAACTCCGCATTAAACTTGCAAGAACCGTGGTTGAGCTAAAAAGAATAGACCTTTAAATGATGTAGGTTATAGGTATGTAAACATATTTTCCTTGGCAGTGCATATATTAAAATTGGAAGATGTCGAAAGTAATGAGAAAAGTGAAAAAAATGGGGAAGATGGGCAAGAAGCTGGTCGAGAAAATCGATCACTCGTCAAAACTGCGCGTGAATATTCCTGCGGGATTAGCATCAGCCGCGCCGCCACTTGGTTCCCAGCTCGGTCAGGTTAGGAATACCGCTGAACTTTAATAGAATGCATTTGATTTCTTTGTACTCTCTCTCTCTCTCTCTCTCTCTCTCTCTCTCTCTTAATTACTTTGTCGTAGAAATTTATTATCATCTTCCGAATTCTAATTCTAATCTTTCTTCTGACAGTAATCATGCTAGATTTGCAAGATCCACTCGCCTTCAACGGCGTTTAATGCGGATGGGTGATTTTGATTCCAGAGGAACATCAACATCGAGAAGTTTTGCAAGGATTTCAACAAGAGGACAAGTGATATCAAAGAAGGCATTCCTCTACCATGTCGCGTGAAAGTAAAGTCAGACAGATCATATAATCTAGTGATCCATAATCCGCCGGCAACATACTACTTGAAACAGGCTGCTGGGATACAAAAAGGAAAAATCAAGAAGGGTATGAACACTAATCCTTCCTTTTAACTTCATAAACTTGGATTCAGTTGCTATCTTTTTATTAGTGCTCCAAACTGGAGATTGACTGTCGAAATTACCAAAACTCCAATTTTCTTGTAGTATTCTCTAAAAATGAAAAAGAGGATTATTAGATTTGGTTCCTCGTGGCGAAGATTGATTGCTATTATAAACAAATTTCTAGTTTTATAATATATTTTCTAAAAAAAAAGATCAAATTTGATTCTTTCCAGTCATTAAAATTTAAGATTCTGAGTAATTAACTACAATTTGATCAAGAAGCCAGTCTCCAATTAAAAATCAGAGAGATAGCAATTATATTGATTAATTTGTTTTACTCTTGGAGTATAAAATAATTGTAGTCTCTTGATATTTTAATGAAGGAAGTGCAAAGATAATACAACATGAACACATGAGAAGATAATAAAATTAATCTTTTTTCATAGGTGAAGTAGCTGGCAAGATAACTTTTAAACATTTATACGAGATCGCCAAGATTAAGCTAGAGGATCCACCCAACGCATTGCTGAATTTAGAACAAATGTGTCAAATGATAGTCGGCATCGCTCGCACATGTGGTATCGAGATCGTGCGCGAAATAGATCCAGAAGAATACAAGCAGTTTCTGAAGGATAGAGAAGCAGTAGTTGTGGATTTTCGTGAGAAGCTTCAATTAGCCAAAGAAAGTAAACTTCTCAGAACAAACTAATTTGTAACTAGAATATCTAAACCTTTGTTTCTATTGTAATTATATATGTATATAATAAACAGCATGATTCTTTCAACAAAGATTTATTACAAAAAAATATTTAAATTTGTTATATCTTTCTCCAACTTTGAGATGATTAATTAAGAGGTAAATTGATGTTAAAAGAGAGTGTATAAAATGTACATTTTTTATAAGTTACTATGTACAAAATCGAATTGTTTACATCAGCAAAAAAAAACATTTACAAGAAGCGAAATTATATCCAATTAAATAACAAAAAAATATTTAGACTAAAGACAAGCTTTTGTTAAAAAGGATAAAAGTCCTTCGTCCAGAGAGAATTGACCGAGTTGTTTAAGTCGAAGTGTATCAGGCCCAGATACATATAATAGAACGATAATTTAAGAAGCATCCACCGTTCCGCTAACGACACCCAGCACTTATCCCATGCACTCGAGCATTGCCGAAGCTTCTCGCCGTATACAGAACGCACGCAACACTTGGACATTTCCATCATGGCCGTCATCCTGGATTGAGTGTGCAGCGAATACTCGATACAGCGCATAAGATCGTTGGTTTTAAGAATCAGCAGCATTTGCCGGTTGACACGGTCCAGCACGTCGCTGATTTGCGGCAGCAAGTTTGGGACATTCTGCTGAAACATCTCCTTCTCGTGGATGTTGTAGCGAGTTTTACGCACGCCTGACATAATCGTTTCCCAAGTCCTGCCAGACACCATGACCGACAGCAGACCGTAATAATTTTCGACGCCGAGATGACTGCAGTATTTCTTCATAGCTACCCGATCGCCGTCGAGGATCGCCAGCCAGAGCTTTGAATAGTTCCAGCGGAACTGATCGGACAGATCGGCGTAGAGGCCGTGATCCAGCAGAACGATTTCCGCCTGGGAGTCGCGATTGCGCACCAGGATGTTACCGGGATGCGGGTCCGAGTGAACGAAACCTTCAATGAAGATCATGTGGCTATACAGACGACCGAGCTTGCTGGTGATCTCATATGGATTCAGCTGATGGATACGCATGTACTCCAGGTCATTAACCTGTCCGCCCTCCAGGAACTCCATTGTAAGCACGCGGGATGACGACAAGTCCCAGTATATTTTTGGTCAGAGTAAAGTTCAACTCCTGAGGGATGTTCCTCTTTGTCTCTTTGACTAGCCAGTCGAACTTGAAATCCGGAAATATCAGTGACGTAATGCTCACCAAAGTTGACATAGTCTTAATGTCAATATAGGAGTTGCTCTTAACTGCTCGATGCTGTACCTTCACGGCTACCACGTCGCCGTTTTTTAGCACAGCTCTGTGTACCTGTGCGAGACTGGCAGTGCCCAGAGGTTCGGGGTCGATGCTCTGAAATATCTCATACGGAGACCTCTTAAAATCCTCTTTAATAACGGTAAGTACGTCATTGAACGAGGACTGAGGTGCCGCACTATGCAGTACGCGCATGGTGTGTACATATTCTTGGGGCAACAGATAATCCAGCGCACCTATATGCTGACCTACCTTGATGTATACCCCTTTATTGGCGCAACAAAGCTCTAGGAGCTTCTGCGCCCCGTACTTGTGAGCATTTGATTTCAGCTGCAAGTACTCTGGTGACATTTTATCCAATTTACTGTCAAATAATTCTCTCTTATAATAACGGCCTATGTCAAGCACTGTCAGTGCGGCACGGCCTAAGCGTACAATACCAATGGCACCGATGTCATACTCATTTACTCTGAGAGATGCCAAGGTACCCAGCCCAACTGTTCCAATAGCAACGGCTTTGAGCAACCTTCTGGATGTAAACATTGCCATTCGGTTGACAGTTCCTTTTAACCGAGAAAAAAAACAACGAATTGTAAAATATATTCTCTCTTAAGATACTTCAGAAACATTACATAACTAGTAAAACATATAATTATAAAATTGCACTAACCTGTAAGTGACGATTAAAAGTCCTTATAAATTCACGTGTACGAGAATAACGTCCCATAACATCGAATCCGGCAAACTGAGTAGTGAGGAGTATGAAACCTTAGAAAGCGATTAAACTAACCTCATCTGTATTCTACATGCCTTTCAGAACGAGTCTCGTTAACGATTCTGTACCAACTTTGTGTACATTTTCAATCCAGGTCATAAACACACGATACTTTTACAAACGGTCGCTAAATAGTTAGATTAATTCGGATCTATCAATTTTCAGTTCGACCACGTGGACGAGACGTGTTACTAGAAATTAATTAGATAACCATAGATTGTCATAGATGGCTATAGATAATCATAGATTACCTCACACGGATATTCTTGAAAGTAATATGAATAAATCATAACTTTCTCATAGAAATTATGCCATGCTGGCTATTATACATGATGAGAATTTCAATAAAAGTTGTTTTTTCTTTCTTAAATAAAATAAAATTTTTGCGTATAGATCTTCTATGTCATTTTATGAATGAATGTTTTGAAGGTGTTTTACATAAAATACTTTATATAAATACCATGTAAAATACTTAATATTTTATTTTAGTATCTGATTTAAATATTTATTGAAATATTTCATCTAGAAAAAAACCTAATATAAACATATTTGAAAAAAATCAATTGCCATTAAATTTTATTGAAAACCTTAAAGAATATATTACAAAATGTCATTTCATATATAAGTACAATGAGAATAACAAAATAATAACGTATAATTACATATATAATATACACAATTGCACATAATTACACATCGTTTTCTGTATTTCATTTAATCTAATTATTGGTACAGTTTCGCCTCCATGTTAATATAACAAAACTGGGGGTTTTATCAAAGAAATCATAGAGGCAACAACATAGAATGCATGTATAAAGTTTCCTTGGAAGCGTGGTACTTCGATTCCTACAAATGGAATTGTAAATCTACCGGTCAGAAAAAGAAGAAAAATATATGTGGTTTCTCAAAGTGTAGAAACTCTTATATTTTTATAAAAACACAAAGATGTCGGAAAACGGATACGAAACACGTGTTTCGATATTTCAAAAAAACTACCTTTTAATATGTGTGCTTATTAACCATCACCCCCAGGTGCGTGAGAGCGGGAGGGATGATCCTGGCCAAGTAATGCTAAATGCATAAAAATTTCACTTTTAACTGTTATTTTGGATCGTTCATAGACTTAAAATTGTCAGAGAGAGAGGCCTTTTGATCGCCATCAAAAGGCCTTCAAATAAGCCCCCACTTGACTCCTAGTACCATTTAAAATTTTCATCACCTCTTCCGCTCTCGCGCATCTAGAAGAGTTGATTAATCAGCACTCATGCCAAAAGGTAGCTTTTTTAAAATATTGGAACATATGTTTCTGATATCTTCTTTTTTACAAAAATTATTACAGGATTTCCATATTCTTGGGAAATCCTGTATATGCGTACAAATATATTAACAGATCTTCTAAAGGAAAAAAAGGTTGCATGTGGAGATTATCAGAAGATATATCTAAATCCAATATACCTAAAGCTAAAGAAAAATTTAATATAATTATCTTGGAGCGTCCCATAAATTAATTACGGATCTGGAACTATTTGCCACTTCTGGTTCTGACAATATGTATGTATAGCACAATACAGAGAGAAAATTAATCATTCTTTACACTATTTACATTCTGTACGTTCCCCAGTGAAAGCATTTTAAAAACATATTATTTCCTGCAGCCTGTTGCATTAAAAGTTTCTAAAAAAAATCGCATTTTGATTAATATTGAACAAGAAACAATATTTCTTTCTTCCAAAAAATGTATATCAGTACGACATTCTCGTTACCTTGATTGGCGGGAGAGCGTCTACTAATTGCAACCCTAGACTTCTACCAAGAACAATGGGTGCTGCAGTGTGTTGATAGAACCGATGAAGTCCATCGATAGCAAACATTATTGGTACATTGTGACGTTGCCTCAGCGTCTCATATGTCCGCAAATAGTACATATCATTGAGATGACTGCCGTTCACGCTGGCCTCGGCGAGGATTTGCGTCAGCTCTGCTACGTCGCCGAAACCTAGATTCACACCTTGACCTGCTAAAGGATGGACTCGATGTGCAGCGTCTCTTTAAAAATATACGTAGAATATTAAAAAAAATCTATACATAATTAAACCCTCAATATAAAATTTTGCAGTTTGAAAACAAATTACAGTTGGACAAAATTTTCTCCGTGACGATTTAAAATTTTTTCCGTGATAAAATTTTCTTACCCGATCAACACCGCGCCTGACTGAACATAAGACGAGGCATGACCGAAACCTAAGGGAAATGCCGCCCGCGATCCCTCGACAATTGCCTCCATGGAGGGCGGCATTTGCCTGGATGCATTGGTCTTTAAGGCAAGTCTTGTAAGCAACTGTTGGAATCCGTACATCCCGCTCTCAACGATGCTGCTCTTTGGATAAATTTGCCACAGCGCCTCATTTATTCTGTCGACAAATTCTTCCTCCGAGATTTTCAATAGTTCCTTTGCTTTCTCTTTCGTTACGGACCATACGAGTGAACTGAGAGAATCTGTCAACTATCAGAGAACAGTAATATAGAAATAGTAATATAGAATCGTGTTGAATCGATCTATGAATTTTCTTTTTGTTCCCAAATTCGTTCGATTAAATTAAATTATTTAAAATGTCTGACTTGATGTGTCAAACATTGCATATCCATTTCTAAATCTATTATTCTTGAAAAAAGAACATAACACAGAATAATGTTACATTTCATTTGACTTGGTTGTGTTTCCACGATATTTTCCAGGCATTAGTTTTAGGAATATTTTAGACTTTGACGCTGTTCACGTAAAAAAAACGAATTAATAGAAATACGAAAACTGATAAGTTACCGGAAGCAATGCGATGGGTCCCGTTGGAAGAAATCTTTGCCAAGCAACGACGTTCTTCGTGGGCTGAAATTGATTAACGACAAGTGTTATAACTCAGCAGCTCATAGATATCTTCTTAAACAGTTGCGTTTCTCAGCAGCTGCGTTTGTTTTATGTACGATATTATATATTCTCAAGAGAATTACCTCGGACAGCTTGACAGTCGCAACGATGCCCAATTGATTGTACTGCCAGTTGAGATAATTCACACCCATTGCCTTTCTCACCAGCGAGTTAACGCCATCGGCACCCACCTGGAACGCATTAAAACGCTTTATTTATTCTGGCTCCTTGTGCTTGACAGTAACCACATTTTAAAAGTAAAATTGTAAGGGGGATTATTGAATCATCACGAAGATAAAGCGTGTTGCGACAGTCAAGTGCAACAAAAATTTACAAGCATGTACGAAAATAACGTCAGTTCTGTTTCAAATTTCAATGAAGATCATCAGAGATTATCTGCGTAGAATGGTTAACGTCTTATACTAATTTCCCATCGTAAATGCTACTTCGTTTATACACAAATCTGCAGACATATCTGCAAAAAGTATTATTTACATTCTGATATAACAATCCAATATTTTAGAAATTCATAAAACTTTACAATTATTTAAAGCGAATTACAATACTAGTTGTTTCCATTACAAAAAATAAACTTTTTACATTATATTTATTTTCTTCAGTCTGCTTATGTTTTCTTTATTTTCTTTGCAAATTGAAATAATTGCAAGTCGTTTGTAATCGCCATCTGTGTTAAATTATAATAAAGAAGCTATTAAAATACACTCTCTCAAATCTTAATTAAAAATTAATTGTAAGAAAAAGAAAGTACGTATCAGGATGACAATTTTGTTAAATGATATTGGTTGACACATCGACTGAATTCTGCTGAAAGTGTTTATGCGTAAAATGACCAGAGTTAATTGATAATACAATCATTTCCGGCATCGTGCTGAGAAAGAATGATAGGGAAGGAGTTTGCGGTCAGGAATTTTTTCTTTTCCTTCTTTGTCGTTGAAACATGTCGGATTTACGCAAGGAGCGAGGGAGAACCGTGAGAGATTAATGGAAGCTAAATATAAAACACTGTTTTATAAACACGTGTGGGTATCCTAAGATATACAGAGATCCCGGATAGTCGAATAAGTGTTCAGTATTAGCGAGTGAGAGCTAGAGTTGAGAGACGATGAACGCGCATTGAGAAAACCATCCATTCTACAATGTCAAGACGACTGCTCATCAAACGATTGATCTAATCAGATTTTTTACTGATATTTAAATTAATCATCTTGTTAACACTTGATTGATTGAAAACATTATCGACCTAATCGTCTAGTGATAAATGTATCATAGTATTCGCAATGAATATGTACTGTCATCATTGCGTAGTCGTGAGACTGACACTTAGTTAATCAAGAGAAGAAACTTTCCATCCTTTACACGCTGCATGATTGCACCATGATGTCTATATCTATATCATTCATACGGAATTAGATAAATTTCTTTAAGCATTCAAAGGAGGACATGATTATGTCGACCCTTGGTAAGAAGAACTTTTTTGAAAGACTCTCCTGCAGTCATTTGACGCGAGAGGCGCCGAGGATAGAAGCTACCAATAACGGAATGCCGTCTGTTGTGATCAGCAATAAGGTCAGTGAAAGAAATGTGATCAATTATCGATAATTTTCCGATGTTTCCTTATCGTTCATGTGCCGAATTTAGGAAGAATGCGATGATATTTGGATGAATGAGATTGACAGTGGCAGTATCTCCTCCGAGAACAGTTTGGATTCTGTCACCTGTCACATATCAACGGTGCCGATGACGCAGGAGCAACTCTGGAGCAAGGAAGAAGTCGTACTCTTCAAAATGACACTCTGCAAAAGGCTTTAGAGGAATTTCAATGCTTGACTCTCAACGAAATTATGGACTGCAATCATCGAAAGATCACATTGCCTACGTTCGCGAACGGGTAATGGCAATAATAGTTGCATATCTACAGTTCAATCTTACAGCGAGATAAAAATGAGAAATAAGAATAAGTTTATCCGCGTTTACAGATTTATGCGAAAGGCTGTACTAGACAGCGAAAATGGAGCAGCGGCTGCCGCGACTCCGGGTCAGTTACTTGCAGGATGGCCAGACACGTGTCTGCTGATTTCTAATTGGTTGGGTCACGTGGAGATCGCCAAGGCTTTGCTAGACAAAGGCGCGCCAGTTTCTACGAGTGACTGCGATGGAAGGTATACATGTATATAAAACTATAATTTGCGATGGACAGAATCACTATCCAGAATCATGTTATTATTAATTATATATCTCGAAAGTTATCCGATTTCATCACAGCGAACTACAAAATATCTCTAATTGATTGAGCCTTATAGCTTCAACTAAGTCTTAAAAACTTTTATTTCCTAGAACACCATTGCATCTGGCAGCTTGTGCCACATCCGTAAAACTCGTGGAGGAGTTATTGAAGCACGGTGCTGATCCGTGTAAATGGGATCTTGGAAAGAAATGCACTCCGTTACATTGCGCCGCAGCAGCGAGTTGCGTCGATACCGTCAAATCCCTGATCAAATCGGGCGCAAATGTAAACGCCGGATTGTCCGGCAAAAGCCCGCTTCATTATGCCGTGTTAAACAATGCCGGAGATTGTGTCGAGGCTCTACTACAAGCAGGTGCTTGTCCGAATAATCCACAGGTGCTCCTTTACCACCATCAACTCAAATATGAATTTGGTGGGGAAGCCTAAACAGAAATCTTTTAAGTGAAATTTGATCTAAGTTCAAATTTGATACATGCAGAAAGTAACATATCCTAAAATCTTTAATGTTGATGAGTAACATCGATTATGGATCAGATATTTTCCCACCAAATTAACGTGTCTCTTCAAGATTCGAGTGAAAATTTCTTCAGTGAATTAATATGATTTGTTGACAGGTTTACACAGAGACACCTCTGCACGTGGCGACTAGTTTAGGCAATGTGCGTTGCACCAAACTATTATTGAATCATGGAGCGGATGTGAGAGTGCAACTGGGAGTTGCGAGATCGACACCTTTGCATCTGGCAGCTGAAGAGGGGAGCGTGGAGTGTACTAGGTTGTTGCTGAATGCCGGTGCGGCTTGGGAAGCGAAGAACTCGCGCGGTCAGACGGCGATGCATCTGGCAGCGCTTGCTCAATCTATAGAAACGTTAGATGTATTAATAAATGCCGGTGCGAAAGTCAACGAGGAGGACGACGATGGACGAACTCCTCTACATGCTGCAGTTGCAAAAGCCTTGAGGAGCGGTGAACTGGTCAAGACTTTAATACAGGTTCGTAGTTTGATCATCTCCAGGAATAGTCACCTGAGATGTTTTTATACCTCAGCAACGAAAAAAAAATGTAAAATATTATTTTGTCTAGATATATATGGATATTGTTTAATATATTTTCTTTCTAATTTCTTTTTACTATTCTCTACAAACCTTTAAATATAACACCTCAGGTGATTGTTCACGTATAAAAAAATCAGGTGACTATTTTATGGTTAAAGAAGATTTTTCTAACAACACAGAGAAATACAATAAGAAGTTTTTTTTCCTTTAAAAGGCAGGTGCTTCGGTCAACAAGGCGGACAAATTCGGCTATACGCCATTACACATCGCGGCCTTAAACGAGAGTTCGCCTACGGTGATGCTATTACTGTCGAAGGGCGCCGATATGACGGCACGTACCAAGGGCGGCGTTACAGCTCTTAGCTTTATTATACGTCGCACTCCAGATGTATTACCACTCTTTGTGGCACGTTTCGATCAGGCGATTTCGCTGCACGATCATGAACTTGGCGACGTAGACTGCGAGTTGCGACTGGACTTCCGGCCGTTGGTGCCAGGCGGCCGTGGCGAGACGGATCTGATGCTCTGCCTGGTAGAAGTTGGTCAGGGTCACGTGCTGAAGCATCCGTTGTGCGAGAGCTTCCTTTATCTCAAGTGGCTGCGTATCCGCAAGTTCTTCTTGCTCAGTTTAATGTTTCACTCGATCTTCGTTGCCCTCTTCACCGGTTATATCGGAGCAACGTATCTCTGGCACGTGAAACGGCTCAGCAATGTCCTTCTTTGGCCGGTACTGGGCTTCACCTGTGTGCTTGCGGGCAAAGAACTTTTTCAGGTCGCTCATGGTATTTACTGCTACGCCAAACGCTGGGAGAACTGGCTGCAATGGAGCGTGATTATGGCATCCGGCATTATCATGATTCCATCAGCCTATACTTGGCAACATCATGTTGCCGCTCTGGGCGTCCTGCTGGTCTGGATCGAGTTAATGATAGTAGTCGGTCGCTTTCCTATGTTTGGTATCTATGTACAGATGTTCACTCAAGTGTCTATCAACTTTTTCAAGTTTCTCGCAGCCTACATTTGCCTCATAATCGGCTTCTCCCTTGGCTTTAGCGTATTACACAAGAACTACAAGTCCTTCGCTGATCCATTGGTCAGTCTACTCAAGACGATGATCATGATGTCGGGCGAGCTCGAGTTCGAGGATGTCTTCTTCGACGAAAAAGCGCCGCTCCAATATCCTGGTACAGCCCACTTAATGCTTCTCAGCTTCGTTATTCTAGTGACAGTGATCCTGACAAATCTGATGGTCGGTTTGGCCGTGTCGGATATTCAAGAGCTTCGCAGATGCGCTGGCCTTGATAGACTAGTGCGCCGTGCCGAGCTAGTGGCTCATCTCGAGAATATGCTGTTCTCCAAACTTCTGGATCGTGCTCCGGCATGGAGCATAATACGGGCATGCAGGAGAGGCGCTCTGCTATTACATCCACCGTATCATTGCGCCTTGCACATTCGGCCGAACGATCCGCGCGAAAAACGTTTACCGCGAGATCTCATCCGGGCGATATATCGCTTGGTCAGTGAGAGGAAAACGCGGCGGACAACATTCAGAAGCAGCGTGCCACCGCTACCACGAAATGCGTATGCCACTACGATGGATTCGAGCCACACAAGGCTCAGTAGGATGTATAGCAACGAGAGCAACCAACAGCAGCTAAATGAGCTGGCAGCCGAATTGAAGAGATGCTCGTACAACATCAGCACTAGGCTGGATAGTTTAACCAACAAAGTGGAAAGTATTGCTAAGGACTTGGACATGTCACATTTACATTAACATTGCTTAACTAGGCTACGTTCGGAAACATCACTCGAGTGCGTCTGTATATTTTATTTTTATTATTCACCGAATGTTAAACAAGGATAAAATGATACACAAAACCATTCGGATGATGTTTTGCAAAAACGTACCCCTATTGTCTCATCGAACATTTCGAAATGTTTAAAACAATTAATAAAAAGACAAATACAAGTGATGTAAAAAAAATGAATTTAAGACAAAAGAGACATAAATTATAAAAGGCCTAACAATGACAATAAAAATACCAATATAACAAATCGCATATTTTCGATTATGACAATCTACACATACACATATACATATATATATATTCTTCGCAAATTATATACATTTAACTTAACTTGGTGCTCACCAATAATCTAGTCCTGTATTGCTCTCCAGATTGCAGCTGTATAGTAACGAATTCCACTCCCGTTTGCAGAAGTTCTACATTGGCGACTTTAGAGTTGTAAATCAAAGTAACGTTTTCCTTCTCAGCAAGTTGCTTGTTGATTGCGTGTATCAACAGATCATTTTCAACTATATAGGCCAATTCTTTGCACAACAAATTCTCGTTGAATGTTATCACAGCATCGGAACATGCATCCCATACCTATTAAAAAATTGTATATAAATATATCATAAAAACTAATTTTATAAATCAGAAGAATATAAACTAACAAAAACCAAGACTCAAAGATTATGCTTTTCATCAATCATAAAGTTTTCAGTGTAATAACTATTAGTTATGCAATTTCAAGATCAACTGCTATAAATAGAAACTGTTTTTATATTAATGCGAACTTAGTAAGTTTAATAATATAAATAGAAAGATCTTATTTAATCTAAGCTAGAATTTTCAAGACTGCAAATTTTATGTATAATTTTAATGTATAAATCAGTGCACAGTTTATAGAACTGGATGTATATAAATTTATATTAAAATATTATTAAGCACTAGATTATTAAGATCTAAACCCAATAAGATCAGACTGAATAAGGCATTTTCCTCACTTAATTGTGTTATTCACATACCAGTCTAATATCATTTACTGCTTGCTTAATAATATAATTAATTCTAAAATAGCAAAAAAGGAATTTGAAGGACTAGCTACCTGCATTTGTCGTACTGGAGAATATCGAACTGCCTCTATATGTTTCCATGCTCCTATGCTGGATAATAAGGTACGGGTTTGTTGATTCAACGCGACAACTCGATTGGAGTATTGCTCCTGTGGTGTGTATTCCTGTTTAACATTACCTTCTAAAAGTAAGATCTTCTTACCTGCCAATTTCTGATTGTTCGCTGAAATAATTAAACATGTACTTGCTTTACATATCATAAATGCAAATAGTATAATAACAAAACTAAGAAGAATAAATTGTGCATTTTGAGAGAAATATATTCGAAGTCTTTTGTGTCAAAAAATATTTTAAAAGAATTGCAATTCGATTAAACGCTAATGCCAATTTTGATACGTGTAATATTTATATTTATCATTTTATTAATCAATAAAAAAAAATTTTTAAGAAAACAAAGTTAAATTATCAAAAATTTATCGGTTAAAAATATAATAAGATTCTTGAAAAGTTTCCAATTAAAAGCTTAAGAAATTTTATATGATAAATAATATAATCATTCAATATTTAATTTTATACTTAATTTAATTCTTGCGTATCTTTCTTTTAAATATTAAAAATGTCTTAAATAATTTTTTTACGTTTTCAAACAAATTTTTCTCTTTTTCCCATTTTTCCTTTCTTTGAACATCTGTTACTTACAAATAGTAACAATAATGCATAGTAATGTTGATAAGAAGCTAACCTATGGCGCATGCCAACGTCGTGCCGACCATGCCGCCTCCAGCGATGATGACATCATAGGTTTTTTCATTTTCCGTGGTGGTTGAGTAGCTCTTCTTCGAGACCACGGTTGCGCTGGGGATGACACGTTCGCAATTCCGTGACGACGCGAGGACGAGCCGGCACGTTAACATCGCTATCCTGACAGTCATTTTGTACTGGGTGCGTAGTCCAGAAGCGCAGAGCGCTCAGTGAGCTCTTGCATCTGACTGGCATATTCCGTTAGAGCTAAAAATATAGACCAAATAGGTACAAGAGCTCACTGAGCGCTTGCATCTTATTGGCATATTCCGTTAGAACTAAAAATATAGACCAAATAGGTACAAGAGCTCACTGAGCGCTCAGTCATGGTACTGAATACACCCACTGAGTGCAACAGCACGCGACTCGATCAACAGGAATGAGAAAGGAGGAAATGGAAATCGCGCCTCTGTTTTTTGCCAAATATGCGCAAACAACCCGATCTGTTGTTCTTCTTGATTCTCATTATGTTGCGTCATTTAGCCTCATCGCATGGCTAATTGTGATATTTTTTCCACTTTGTGTCCACGAAGTGTAGAAGGCACAGAAAAATGATTTGTATGAAGTTGTATACATATCGGAATGTAATTCCATCATGCATGATATTTTCGAGAAATAAATGCCTATGTTCATGCTTCAAGGATTAATAAGTGACTTCGATCCAAAAAGGATCAAACCTCTAAAGCTTCTAATTTCTTCTAATTAAAGATAATTAATTTTAAAAGAGAAACTTCTAAATCTCATAGTTTTTAATTAAGAGAATTTATCTAAATCATAAAAAAAGAAATCCTGATCTTAAATATGCTGCGCTAAATAATTCCAGAGTAGGATTGAGATGGCAGGTATCACATTATAATCCAGAAAAAAAAAATTCTACTTCTCTCCCTACTGAAAAAAATCATGTCACACAGTTGCATGATGAAATCATGTAATTAAAACATGTAACTCTCGTAACGAATTGTTCCAAATCAAGATATGATTTTTAAAATTACGTAATTTGAAATTATTTCTAATATCATATGATTTTTCAAATTACATCATTTAAAAAAATCACGTACTGATTTGGAACAATCCGTTACGTGATTTACGTGTTTCAATTACATGATTTCATCATGTAACGTTATGACATGATTTTTTTCAGTACGGCTTTGAATAAGCATGTGTATATATTATACAAGTAGTTTTTCTCTCTGCACAATCGTAGATATTTGAGGATACGAATTTTTCAGGGCCATCAAAATTTCATCGCCCACTCCATAAATGAGAGCCACGCTCGGAAAAATCAACGCTTTCGCAGATATCATTTTCCACGTACGTTCGACGATAATGTTCACGTTCAGACAAATCGATCGGGTTGTTTTGCGCGCCATTTAATTCCGTAGAACTGGTTGCAGGGCGTTAGCACTTCCTCGCGAGCTTCACCATGGCGACGGCGACGCCAGGTCGGCGACGCCAGGTCGGCGACGCCAGGTCGCATTGATCCCCCGTAGTAGGTACAGTAACGGCCGAAGTTGCCAGCACATTGTTTGTATCCCGGTGTTGGAATCAGGATTTTATCACAAACCACCTTCTTAGAATCGATCTGGACTCGCATTTGGCTGATTGCATAGAGGATGAAGGTGATTAATCACAAGAAATTCTACAAAGAACTTGGCGGAATTTTCTAAGAACCTGAAACAATCGTCTCGGCAAACTGTCTCAATTTTGATTAGAATAAAATAAAAGACATTCGTAGGTAAAGTTTAAGACCTTAGATAAATATATGTATATTAATTGTGTTATTCTAAATAATTTAGAATTTTATGATTTTTAACAAAGTCGCAGCTGCAATCGATTTAAATATTTAACTGTTTGATAATTAGAAAAGTCAATTTGTGATTTACTGTCTTCTTTGTCCTACATTTTAACGTCTGTGTGTCCAATTATTATTAATAGTTTTTCCTGTATTTCTCTCTGTGTGTCGTACATACTATAATTATCTTAGGCAGTAGTACGATTCTATTGTGTAATTAGCTTTGATTATATTATAGCTGTGCCTTTGATGATATCTAAACTTCACTACATGTTTTAAATTTAATTTCAATTTATTTAATTAATAAGTAATCATTAAATAACTCATCATTAAATTGTGAAAAGGAGAGATATGTTAGGAGTTATGAAATACTTATTATATTTAATAGAAGAAGTCTTTTTAATTATCTACTAATATTTACATATCTTGTAACAGTAAATTTATTAATATTTAAAAACATTTATTTTACCGCACATTATTTATTTGTTACGTTAACTGCATATGTTACATTATATTTCGTAATAAATCAGTGAACCATGACGGAGCACAGAGGCACTTCATTTTTCCATTCGTGCGTGAAGATGCCGGTGGATCCTTGTAGCCGGCAACCAACTCCTTCTTACGAACGTCCTCGGCTGTCATCCGGCAGCCGAAGATCAGAGAAAGTGAAGAAAATTAACTTTGCCGAGGGTGAACCGACTGCCGTCGAGAACTCGGAATCGTCGAGCCCGCGTGACACTTTGGAAAATCTTCTGGAGTTCCTGAAGAGCATACCGGATTATGGACAAGTGCATCATCTGTCGAACGAGCAATTCAAGCAAAAGGTCGAATATCTAAGAAGGAAGCAGCGGCTGCTCCTGCAGAATCTGAGGAACTCGCTGGATGACGCAGAGGAGCCTTCATCGCATTTGTCAATTACGAGAAATGAGAGCTCAAAGTCAAAGGATGTCAAATCGAACGTCGTCGTTGATGATCTCAAGTTGAACGGCAAGAAATGCTACCTCGAAGAGTCGAGAACCAGCAGCCCAATATTGTTTCCGTCTGGAAATTTTGCTGGTCTCGCCGAGGATCAAGATCTACTGACATACAGGTGATAATTTATAAGTTGTCATACGAATACATTGGAGAAACAATATATATATATAAATATATATATAATTATATCTATCTTTTATCGTCTGTTTTTATTGTAAACATGTTAATGTTGATTCTAGATGCAGAGACAAGGACAAGGAAACAAAGACAATGCGCAACAAAGAGATACTCGCAGCCAATAAAAGCTGGAGCACATGGAGTGAATCGAAAAGCGATGACAGCGTGAACAGCGATGGCGAGGATAGCATCGAGACGAAAAGTTTACCACCGAGTAGCTCGAAAGAATGGCACCCCACGGTGCCTAAACCGTTCAGTTTTACGCTGAGGTGAATATCACGCTGAGGATAAGATTCTTAAAAGATATTTGAGAGCTTGCATTTAAAAATACCTGCTTATTGGATGCATCTTTCAAATGTGTTTCATTACATTTTTTGAATATTAACATAAAAATGTATCAGTTTTCATTATTAATCTAATTTTAGTAGACATTCAACCATCTTTTTTATCAAATTAAAAGCAATTTTTTTTATCAATAAAGGAATAAAGAATTATTTTATTAAATTATTATTAATATGATAAATTATTTCATTTTTTAAGTTTGTAAAATATCTTGAAATATTTTTAGGCTTTTATACTATAATATATATATATAAAATGTATCTTTTTCTGTAATTAAATATTTTATATTATACTATACTCATTTCCTGTTTATACATTTCCTGTTTATTTAATGTCCTTTTTCAGGGAAGAGGTGGAAAAGTATATGACAGAAATAGAGACAGTCGAACAAGCGAATAAAGATAGTGAGAAGAAAAGTCCTTCGAAAAAACGACGAGTTAGACCAATTCCTATTACATCCAAGATACCACTCTATGACAAATTAATGGCTGAAAAAGAGGAAAGGTCGGCCATGTAGCATTTTTGTCTTCATAAATGGATGTATAATACTGTCTTCTTTTTTTATTTTCAAATTTAGTATTGTATCTCTCTAATTCTGAAAGTTTCACTATATACTTTTATATATCATTTTATTTATTTTTAACTATTTAGAGGTCTGCGAAATTGTAATTAATATCTCGATATATAACGTGTGTTTTTGATGTTCAGAAGTCGTATTGTACGCGAGGAGAGTGCACTAAATCTATTGTCGCAAGTGCGACCCTTTAAGCTGGAGTGTGATCGTCGTGCCTGGCGATCCTTGGTGAGGTCCAGTCCTGAACTCTGTGAGCGGTTCTTCTCGTTTCAAGGCTAAACCAGTACCAAGAAACCTGTTCGGCACTGAGGTTTACGACCGAATGCTTGAGGACGAATACTATAGGTCGGCTTGTCGTTAATTGTCGACTTCTTTCCATATTTTATCTTAGAAAAATTTAAGTGACATTTTTATATACACGTTTAATATCTATATTTATTGTATATCTATGCTCTTGCTCTTTCTTTTCTTTCTTAGTACCGAAATAAAAATGATAAAGTCGCATTACGAATATTGGATGTTCGGAAAATTCCACTATTTCTCTGGATTGAAACACATCGATAGTCTTTAAATTGCAAACAGACAAAAATTTTTAGAAATTAAGTCTTAATTTAATTTTAAAGCTTATTCTGTGTATAAGTGAAAGTTTATATAAGTGACTAAAATTAATTATTTTGCAATTCAAAGAGGTGAGTTTAATTATTAGAACTTGGTTTCCTGAAGGTACTTCGACTTAACAAGATTATTTAAAGAGCTAAAAACTTTTCAAAATCTCTTGAGAATTAAAAACAATTAGATTCAGTGTAGGGATTTATGTACGCGTTCCAGACAATTAAGGAAAAGATTGAGGGCCGCCGAGATGTTGAAGTCTTCTTCGTTACCGCCGTCGATGGCGAGGCGCGAACGTGTCAAGTCTGCATGTGCACATTTGCGAGACGTGGAGCCTGACAAGGATGACGACGAATCCGTCATCCCGACTACGACAATGTCCGATGGAACTAGGTCCGCGCTAACGTCCGCATTGTCCTCGCGCGGGAATAACTTGGCTGCGATTTTGAGATGTCAAGCTTCACGGTACGGTTTATTTAATGAGAAAGACTGTATAACCCAGAATCCTTCTATTTATTTATATTTTTAAAAAGCTGATTTTAAAATATTAGAAATTCAGTTGAAGAAAGAAATGATAGGTGCGAGTCATAAAAAGTCACTCTGGTACAAGATCCCATATAGCACAGAATTTGCAGCAATATCGTTGCAAAATCTCTGCAATATTGCTGCAACATGTAATGTTGCTGCAACGTTGCAGCAGTGTGGCTGCAACTTTTGTGCAACTTTGTGCTGTAGGAGATTTAATTTTTTCTAAATACAAACGAAGGATAATTTTTAATTAGAGAGGAATTCACGCGTGTAAATGACGATCGAAAAACTCATCACAGAGAGAAACTGGAGCGCGAGATACAGGAGCGGATGGAGGAGAAGCGGCGGGAACAGATACTGAAGTTCAGGGAGACGCTGATTGGTCGGAAACCCGCGTGGAAGGCCCTGAGATCGGCCGCGAGGTACGCATTGGATCTATAGATCTAAGCGTTCATCGATTTTTATGATCGAATATTGATCTAATGTCGCGAAAACAAGGCATGAGCATAACAGAGACCTAGACATACGGACGTCTCTTCGTCGTGACGAGGCGAGGGAACAGGCCGAACGTCATCGACTGCAGATGGAGATGATGCTGGACCGAGTGACGCAAATACCGACTCTTTTCGAGCGTCATTCTCAGGTATTATGAATTTCTTGTTATTTGCATGCGTCATAGTTATTAGATAATTGTTATTAGATAATTTTACCTCCTAAATAGAAATAAATATTTATCAATAATTGTCTTTTTTAATGAAAAATAAAGGTATTTTAATACTTTACGTATTTTTCATGCACTAATATATTTTATATAAAGCTGATAAGATTAAAAAATATTGTACATTCTTTAGGATACGTTCTAATAAAGTATCGTGTAAACTACGCTTTATACATGAACTTTGCAGAGTTTTCAATCATTTGTAAAGGCTTCTCCAAAGAGCTCCTCTTACGCCCGGAAGAAGAAAAAAAAGAAAAAAAAACAACAGCAGCAATCGAAAAGATCTACGTCAAGTAGCTTGGACTCTTATTTGAGCTTTGCCAGCAACTCTAGACCAAATTCCGGATCATTAACCAGTTCTTCCGGTACTCTGATGTCAAGTCAATCATCGTCGAAATCGTCGGGCGATTCCTCCGACAAATCGGCAGCCAAGTCAGAAACCTCGACATTGAAGAGGAAAGCCGATCGCGGTCCATTAAAGGTTTCGATCAACGAAACGGCAGAATTGATAGAGGATTGCAATGAAAAATCGTCCAGTAGTGATGAGTGATCCCGCAGCGACGATATCCAAGAATGAATTGAACCGATAAGTCTTATAATCATCGCGAAATTATTCTGAATATATGTCAGGTCCTTATATTTATATATTAATTACTTTACTAATTAATATACTAATTAATTAATTAGATTAGAATATATTATGATAATTAGGTAAACCAAGCTTTTCAGTTTGAAACTATCTGAAGTAAGCTTTTCATTTATTCAGCTTCGTTATAATTGAATTCTATTTATAATCATTTATAAGAATAATCCATAGCTAAACTGACATCCTGATACTTATCAAGAACAGTTCAAAGTCGATCGAAGAATTAATTTGAAATTAAAACGATTGTGATAATTTTTCGGGAAATCCAGTTTATCGCGAATGACAGAAATACTTTTCGTCGTTTAGAACTTCCCAGACAGCACACAATATTTATAAAATGTTTACAAAATATTTATAAATATTTATAAGATTTTTTTAAATATTTTGTAAATACTTTTGTGATCCTAGATTGTACAGATTATAAACATTTATTAAAAATATTATGAAACATTTATTGTAAATGTTATAGTAAGTGCTATGAAAATATTTAATGAGATATTATAATCTAAGTAAAAAATACTTATTGGAAATATTTATTTATATTTATCATAAATATTACATAAAATATTTAGTCTATATTTTAATAATATTTCGAATAAAACTTTATATAAAATATGTATGAAATATCTATATAACATTTCAAAAAATGAATATTAATAAATATTTATCATAAATATTCTGTGCTGTCTGGGTTAAGAAACAAATAACACAAACATCTTTTTTTATAGAAAAACTGTTTATTCTATCGATATATTATAAAGTGTAAAAATATGATAAGTTAACATATAAATCATAATCACGCATCGGTTTAGCACATATATCCATTAGAGCGAGCAAAAAACTCTCTTCCTCCCTCTTTTTTGTTTTTTTCATCGAAGATATGACACGCTTATCTCACATGCAATAAAATAGTAAAATTTAACTTAAGTCGCAATCGAGAAAACTCCGTCTAATAGGAATAAAGTTGTATCGGCAGTAAAACACTTTATTCTACTAAAAGGATAACAAAAGTTTTAAAATATTAACACTAATCGTTTCTATCTATTAAAAATAGAATGATATTTTGCGAATCACCTTCCTAAACACCTAAACTGCCAATTAATTTCCACAAACAATAAAAATATTCCTTTTCTGCTGTAGCAATTTTATTCACTTTGCCAATCTTATGAAATCAATTTTATTTAGCTACGTATTTATCGAACGCCTCGCCAAATTCTCGCTAAATTCCCGTTCTCACCACGATGCTGACACCGCGTCTGCGTCACCATATTCCGAGCACGGAAATTAAAAGTATTCAATGAAAGTTCCGCAATGTTCCAGACTCGCTTTAATCTGTCAGTGTATTCAGAATCCAGTCCACGTAGTAGGCGACATTGGTATAGACTCCGGGAAATCCCTCAGTGCCGCACTGCTTCAGTCCATAGCTAACCACGCCGTACTGGATGATGCGTACTGATCTACCATTGTATATACCAGCTGCCTGCAGGGGTCCGCCGCTGTCACCCAAACAGGAGTCCACGTTCATTTGGCCACCGGCACATAGCTGCTTGTACCAGATCTGCGTGGTCCGACTGTATACTTCTTTACACTGTTCGTAGGCCACTAGTGGTAGCTTCGCTTGCAGGAGGTCCTGACTGCGCGGGCCCAATTCCGTCGCTCCCCAACCGGTCACTACAGCCTGCCAGTCAAAAGCAAAATTTAGAAATGAAGTAGTCTTTATGAAAATCGAGAAATACATCCGAGTCGAAATTTTTAGAAGCGGTAGAAAATATTTCTCGAAAAAGTTGTTTGATGGACTGTAGAATCGATTCAAAGAGATTCAATTATGAAATATTTCAATTTGTGAAAAAGAGAGAAACAGAGAGAGAGAGAGAATACGAAAAATGTTATTCAAAAATTCCTTTTTCTATTTATAGTATTAAATCAGTAGTAGATTTATAAATAATTTGAAGCAAAATAAATGTAATTCGTAAATCTTTTTGACTGTTTCTTTTTTATTATTTCCTAATTATAAGTGGAAGTATATTGATCATTCTCACCCTTTTATGATTTAGTGCTATCGCAGTGCCAAAAGGCAGACAAACGGGTTTGACATTCAGAGGTCTGAAATCCACTGTACCATTCAACCTAATAAGCGCGATGTCATTTTGCAGTTTTGTTCTCGTGTATTCCGGATGGAACTGGAAGCTTTCCACACCGAAATCCTGATACCTCTCGGCACATACGATCTCACGTCCTTGGGAGTCTGTATCGCAGTCACGTTCCTTACTTATATCGTGATCCCCTACCCTGACGCCTATCAGTCGTAGACCTGGAGAATAACGATTACACAAATTTATGCCAGTTATAATAAACGCCATTGAGAACAACGAACGTTCTTGAGTATCTTTCAAATTTTATTTTTAAATTTAATCTCTTTAATTTCTTCTTAAGTTTAAAATTTAATTCTAATTTTTGCCATACTTATGGCAATATGACTTTATGACTTTTTCCTTACCCCCTGGAAGGAAAGTGACACAATGAGCGGCGGTGAGGACGTAGCGCGAGGAGATGACTGTGCCGCCACAACGGAACTCCGGATTTGGTCTTCCAGTATCATATGCGATTAATGCCATCCACGGATACTGGAAAATTCCAGTCTTGTTGCCTCCGAATACCTTCGGCTGAGTGACGGGCCCACACAATGTATGATCCAACAGACGTAGATTCGGGTGGTTCGTTACATCTGGTGGATTTGGAAGATTTTCTGGATTTGGATCTGGAGCCTCTGTCGTTGTCGTTGTTGATGCCTATTATCAAAGATTAATATTTAATATGAGCAAAATTGGAAAAACTGTAAACACTTAATGCATTTTATATGAAATCGTAAATTGAACAATGTTATAATGATGAACAATACCCAGTTGTAGAGAGCTTTATTAAGTTCTGTGAATACATGAAATGCGTTTTCGAATGGATATTAAAGATATACAAAAATTGAGCGCAAAAATTTCATTGCTTTGTTTAGAAAAATCTATTTTTATAATGTTACTAAAATAAAGGAAGTCATAAAGAAACTTTGATTGCAATAAAATCTCTGATAACAATAAAATATCTGACTATTGTTATTCTATATAATAGAATATTTTGTAAATTTCAGATTTTATGAGTAAAGTTTCATCCGATATCCTGTTAGTACAATGAGATCAAGATAAAACAGAAAGTCGAGGTCACAGAAACCTGTTTCAGCATTATTTCAAAAGACTATTAAACGATTCCCAGCGACGATATATCTTTATTACAACAATGATGGCAGCGATGTATGTATAATTTGATATTTTATGGACATGTGGAAGATGATGAACAATCCGAAACGCATTAATCTGATATTCTCAACGAGAACTAATAATCAATCTGCCAATAAATAATCTTTTAACTGTTTATCAATGTATTTAAGTAATTAACAAAGAATAGGAAACAAATAGGAAGTAAAATTATTAATGCAAATTGTTATAATATGTTCGCGAAAGATATGTATGTATTTATAATTCACAATTCATAATTCTTACTTTTTCGTTTATTTTTTAAAGTAGCTTTAAATTGTATATTATAAATTCAATTCTCTTTCTTAAATTACATTATATTATGTATTAGTAAACTTTGTTAATTTAAATTTTAATAAATTAGTACTAAGTTAATATTACTGTAGATAAATTAATGCGTTTAGGTCAAAATCAATTACCTGACTGCAACAAACCTTCGGGTCGTTGCCTTCGAAGCCACATTGCAAATTTCTAAGAGTCTGCAATGTCTCTGCTGAAAGCGGTCTTGAACTTGTCAAGAGAGATATGATCTCCGGACACTTGCGAATGTTGACGCAATTGGCACCATTATTACATTCATTCTCTGTAACGGTAAATTATTGTTCAATTTAATCAATTAATATTTCTTAAGCAATATCCTTTAAAATATAAAAATTCAAATCATCATTTAGAACATACATATTGTAAATAATTTGGAATAACTTAAATATCCATCTGGGAAAGCACCTTGATAAATGTATGATGAGAATCAGATAGATGCATTTAATTTTAAATATATGTTAATTAATTGTGCTAAATGTGTTCTTATAATTTCAAATAAACGTACGATTTAAAAAAAATATCAAAAAAAGGTTTACTGTTAGAACTTTATTAAAGAAAAAACTAGATATTCTTTTTCAGGTAAAAGTACTCAAACGAATTGACATCTAATGGAGTACTCACGTGCATTGATTACTGTTAAAGCGAGGAAAAAGACGAATAAGCCGATGGACACCATGTTTATTTGTGATATCAGCATGTAACTCTTCGCCAATTAATCTCGTTTTATAGTAATTCTCTTTTTTCCCTCTTTTTCTTTCCCTTACAGATCAGATTGAGCGGGGATTTTCCTGTTTCGCTCCGATGATTCTCGTCGATTAATGTCCTTCGTTATATATAGATAGAAGGCTTGTACTCCGTTGGGAAATGTAATAATTCCACTTGTGGTTTAAGTCGGCCTTTCGTGTTGAGTTTGTACTTAAGCCGAGATGTACCACAGGTCAGATCAAAACCAGTACTGATCGGCTGGTCGCCAATCGACTAAGCTCCTCCACTACTTGCTGGGCCTATTAAATCTGTTGATTCGGTGGGGATGATTATCAGTGATGATCCATTAGTCATGATTCGTTTCTAATTATAACTTATCGCGGGACTCGTAAAATACTAGGAAAATCTGAAACGTGCGAATTTTCTTTAAAAAAAATTTCATCCTTTTGCGAGAGAGAGAGAGAGAGAGAGAGAGAGAGAGAGAGAGAGAGAAATCCTCACTTATTTGAATTAACAACTTCGGGGATGTTGATGTCAACATACATTCCGTTCATGGAAATAATGTTACGATAAGAATTTTACGGTACATATGTTTAAAAAGCTATCACAAAGTTTCATTTTATATTATTTTATTATCTGTTTACTTAAAATTTCGATGTTTTTAAATTGAAGCTTTCAATATTTAATCTCTTACATTTACATTTTTAAAATTATAAATATTTCAAATTCTCTTATTCTATCATCTAAGTTTAAGGAATTGTGTAATTACTTTTATTCACTGAATATCCATATGTTTTTATCAACAATTTCCTGAATGGTGGAAACTTTATTTTCAATTCTAAAATCGTGAAAGTTAGATAAATAAACATATATATATTTGTTTCTATCACTAATTGACGGCGTTAGCATAATTTCTCGGAAAGAACATAAGTTTATTCATTAAAATGATAAAACATAAACGGCATTTCAACATTCTTCTTCTAAGAAAGAAATTAATGTCGCTTATAAATAAAATTACGATAAAGACGAAGTGGCATCGCGGGAATCTTTCCTGAAAGACACGTGAAAAGAAGATATAAGGAAAGAGAGGCTAAAATAAAAGGGAAAGACAGAAAAAAAGCCGGTCGGATATTGAAACTATAATTAAAGATTATTCTCATTCGAAAGATGATAATTACAACGAATCTCGCCAAGAAAAAGTAGATCAAGAATAAATGTTGTGACTATTTTTATAATCACCGGGAGTTTCCCGAGATAATATTGCTACATCAAACTCATGCAGGGATGTTGTATGTTGCTCCGTTGAAATATACAGCTATTAGTCATCGGTAGACAGATGAGGAAAGTTACGACGAAATATCATTACTTTTCTCCAAATTGACTATCAAAGATGTTACTCGCTACGTATCTTTTTACTTATTTGTTATTTAATTCAACATTTATTATTCAATTCAAATTTTTAAACACATTATCGTGATCTATCATGACCACAACAAAATGCGAAGATTCGTTCGCTCGTGATATCGAAGAAGCATTTATCTCTAGAAGACTAATACGTCAACGAATTAATGGCATGTGATTAGCTGCAATTAATCAACCACTGTATTCTCAAGTATTATCCTCTTGTAATGCTCGAGAAGAAAATTTTAGCATTTTTTGTATTTTTCCTCAATGAAAATTTTTAATATTTATAATTAATTAATAGTATTTTAATTAATTAATGAAATATTTTAATTAACGAATTTGGTTTTTTAATACAGTGCAATATCCTTGACTGTGCTTTCCGAAATTGCGTAGGATAAATGGTTACAACGTGATAAGTCAGTCGATAGGTCATGTTCTATTACAGTGACCCCGCTCGTTTTGATAACTCCGGAAAATAAAGATGTGAATGTCAAATGATGTAATCATCGATCACATAGTATAAGTACAGTTTTAATAATAAATACAGTTTTGCGATTCGACAATTCGCAATTTTATACTACGTTTTCCTCAAAAGAAGGTAGAGTTACCAGGAAATCGGTTTTTTATATATTAGAAAAATGCGGATAAGCATTATAAATAATGCAGCTTATTGATGGTTAATTGACGTTTCTCAGAAATATATATCTTACACAATACGCATCAAGGATTCACATTATGATGAAGAGTGATCTCATTATAAAAACACGAGGATAATATTAAGGAAAGTAACATAATTGAAAATAAATAACATCATTGTGAAAACTATTATAATTCAAATGCAAACGAATTATTCAAACGATGTTGACATAATAAAAAAAGAAAGAGTAGAATAATATGCTAAGAAAAGAAGAAGGAATAAATTATTAATTGAATATGGTTGAGGAAGAATTTTAATTTGTCTTTATTAGTGTTATTAAAAACGTAAAAAATACTTTTTTTACACATTGTCGTCCTTATATGCTAACTCCTTTATGGATATTGATTTCTTTATCATTTATTGTCAATATCGTGAATTTTATTCTCGATTTATTACACTTCGTGTTTTAATAAAACTCACTAAAAATATTTATAAGTACTGTTATAAAAATATGTCAATATAAATACAGATAAAATGAATGAGTAATTATAGTGTCACTTAACTATGTCACTTAACATTTTAATATTATTGAGTATGTTCGTGGGCCTTTTATATACATAGAAAACAGAGAGGAAATTTAATTAATTATTATTTTTATAATGACAATCTTTTACCTTATTAATACATATAAAACTTATTTATCATAATTAAAAAATTTTTTGCCGCATTTTGTTCATCAATTTCTTCAGAGAAACTTTGACAAAATTATTAATATATAACATTTCCTATTTTAATAACATGTGTAAATGAATCTGACAGGACTAATTAATTCTACAAAAAGCAACTCGAACCACAGAAATGCATTGTTTCATACAGTATTATATTTTAACTTCAAAAATTTTTCAAAAAATCATTACTAAGTAATAGTCAAGAGATAACTTAATTCCTTCGTAGACGATGTGTCTCTGTTTGCGACCTCATGTTATTAATAATCCTGGGAATGAAGTCTAACACTTTCGTGTACGCCAAGCCATCCGATGGTCCAAAGGATACAACGCTTAAAGCAATCCAATGCCGGTATACCATCGGTGATCCCCTCGATGGTCATCAGGGGACCACTCGAATCACCCCGATACCAGTCTTTGTCTCTCACACAGACTTGTCGATAGCCCAGCCGGACTCCAGCGCAGACATAGATTTGATCACACACTCTTGTCTGCCAAGGGCAAGGCCAGCTTCAGTTTAATATTCAAAGCCGAGCTGGTTTCCATCTAGCCTCAAAGAGCTACCAGCCACGAAGAGCTTGCCGTCGAGCGATGAATTGGACGGCGCGATGGGCTTGATGTACCTTGTGAATGGTACATCTGAGACGCAGTAACACAATATTATAATATTGATCCTGCGAAAGAGATCGGTAATTGCGATTTGTTCTTCCACACCTACACTGAAAAAAAGATTGGCTGCTGCAGC